CAAGTAGCATTACCAAACTCCAAATAGTTTTATCCCTTTCAAAGAATAAGTGGTATTGAAATAACACTGAAGCAATCAAAAATAAACCTACTTAGATGAACGATGTCTAAGAATACAAAGCAATTTTAAAACAAATTACTGTTTAATGAACACAAAGACATTACCTTTAATACTGTAAACTGAAAGGTACAGCAGTATTATTGCACTTAAAACAGGTGTGCCATTTTCAGGGAACAATCAGGGATGAAAGAAAGGTGTTCTTAGAACTCAAAATGCTCTCCAACATATTAAAAACAAAACAGCTAATATTCAAAAACAGCTACACGTCAAATGAACATTTCTCACCCTAATTGTAACAGCACAGTGGTTTTGTTGCTCAAATACCACATGGCACTCATCATGTGATAAGCCACTGTGCCTCTGATATTGAACTGCCTGAACCTGTTGCAACCAATACAGCATCATAATGAACATGTGTTACTCCTGTTTCCTTTTACATGACATCTGGGGCCTCACAGAGTGGACAGCTGTACTTTCACGAGGTGAAGAATACCTTTGTAAAAGTGACAGGTATGCTAGCATCCAGCTGCACGTGATCTGCAAGTTCTGTGAACTGCTGCTGCTGCTTCTGCAATGTCTCCAGCAGCCTTGTAATTTCCTGCTTGGCCAACACTACTCTGCAGTCATCCTAAACAGGTAGAGAAAACAAAGGCATGCCTTTCCTTTAATGGTTTACTGAAAAAATGCAATACAAATATAACTGCTACAAATAAAGCATTTTAAACAGAAATGTTCTAGTTAAAGAAACTCACATTGACAAAACAGATTCATTTAAAATTGCACTACAAATGTGAACATCTTGGATGAGAAGCCCACCATGAGCTGCAGTGTGAGCTCAGCGCAGAAAGCCAATGGAATCCTGGGCTGCATCCAAAGGAGTGTGGGCAGCAGCTCAAAAGAGGTGATTCTTCCCCTCTGCCCTGCTCTCATGAGACCCACCTGGAATACTGCACACAGTTCTGGTGTCCTCAAC